CCCTGTTGAAAAAACCAGCATATGCTGGTTAGGTAAGTTTTGACGCTGGGATGTTGGTTTAAGCTTTTCCTTTGCTGGTTTAAGCTTTTCCTTTGCTGGTTTATGCTGGTCCTTTTGCCAGCACATGACCAGCATAAACCAGCAAAAGGACCATCTTAAACCAGCTAAAGGACCAGCTTAAACCAGCAAAAGGACCAGCATAGACCAGCATAAACCAGCTAAAGGACCAGCATAAACAAGCAAAAGGACCAGAATAAACCAGCCAAAGGACCAGCATAAACCAGCCAAAGGACCAGCATAAACCAGCCAAATGACCAGCATAAACCAGCAAAGGACCAGCATAAACCAGCAAAGGACCAGCTTAAACCAGCAAAGGACCAGCTTAAACCAGCAAAGGACCAGCTTAAACCAGCATAAACCAGCAAAAGGACGCTAAAGGACCAGCAAAAGGACCAGCATAAACCAGCAAAAGGACCAACATAAACCAGCTAAAGGACCAGCTTAAACCAGCAAAGGATTAGCATCAACCAGCAAAGGACCAGCTTAAACCAGCATCCCAGCGTCAAAACATACCTAACCAGCATATGCTGGTTTTTTCAACAGGGCTGTCATTAAAAAGCGTATTATTGAATTTTCTGCAGAATTTTAGAAGAAAATAATTTATGTAACAGTTCATAAAATAGTGTAAAAATGCGAAAATATCAAGCAACTTTTTTTTTGTAAACAAATATTGTAGTTAACACATTTTATAAATGTACAGCATTTAAAATGTGACAAGTTTTGACAACTTACCCCGACCTGATTAAAAAAAACTCTTGTCTGGAGCCTTCATAAGTGACTCTAGTCTGAATGTGTGAATGTCGTTTTATTTATTTATTTAAGCAAATAAATACACATAATGAGTATTTATGTAACAGTTCATAAAATAGTGTAAAAATGCGAAAATATCAAGCAACTTTTTTTTTGTAAACAAATATTGTAGTTAACACATTTTATAAATGTACAGCATTTAAAATGTGACAAGTTCTGACAACTTACCCCGACCTGATTTAAAAAAACTCTTGTCTGGAGCCTTCATAAGTGACTCTAGTCTGAATGTGTGAATGTCGTTTTATTTATTTATTTAAGCAAATAAATACACATAATGAGCTCAGAAATAATGCATGTGTAATCAAAGTATAAACATTTCTAAAGTATAACATCCTGCTTTTTAATGACATAAAGATATGAATATGAGTGAAGATACTCATGTCATTCTGTCCACATGTTTCCTGAAGTTAATACATTAAAAAAAAATATATATATATATATATATATATATATATATAAAATATTATAAATATATATAATAAAAATAAATGGTGCAGAAACAATGTTCACTTGGAAATTGCTTGGAAATTTCACGAATAATTATGAATAATTATTTATTTAGCAGTTATTTAGTTGATTTTCAAGCAGACATGAGCAGCACTTGGATGTTTTTGTGTTTAACTGAGAAGCAGCATGAGTGATTTTTCTCATACTGTAGATTTTGCATGTCATGGATCAGTTGTTAGGCTGTTTTTATATTGAGGGACATCTAAAGATGAAACAACATTTCATCTCCTTAAAGGGGTCATATGATGTTGCTAAAAAGAACATTATTTGGTGTAATGAAATGTGTTTATGCGGTTTAAGGTTAAAAAAACACTTTATTTTCCACATACTGTACATGATTGTTTCTCCTCTATGCCCATCTTGCCTCGATGCATCTTCTTGGTCTACTTACTTCCTCTTCGTGGTTAGGTATCAGTGTGTGCTCGGCAAGACCGTTTTGTGCTTGAGCGCCACCAAGTCGTGTTTTACTGTAACTTCAGCAGCTCCAGGCACGTGAACAAAAGCGACAATCTCATTAGTCGGCCAGTTTTTAACGTGGCGAGGCGTTTTAAACGCGTTTTGCACGTCGGTGTGCACACTCACATTGGCGCCCTTTGTTTAGTCACAAGGTTTTAATTGCACGCGATGTTCGTCCCGGACAGCCTTTATACTGTCTTTTTACCTGTTGCATTGCACCTGATTTCTAGTCGTGTCCTCTTTTGGAAGACCAAACAAAGTATTTTCGCTTTCACAACGAAACACACAGCGTCTTCACAATATGGCGGCGGTGGTGGCAGCAACAATAAAGTTACTACTTCTTTCTTTGCATGAACATTTGGGGCGGCATTATGCAAATCTTCCCACACAGTGACGTAGACATGTGGAGGCGTGTTTAAACGAGGCATTTTAGGAGGGCGTGGACCAGTCTTAACTTTTATAAAGAATATCTCTTTGGGTTTGAGACTTTAGTCTTTGCAACTTTAGGGATCTTATCTATTCACAAACAGCTTGTGTTACGTGCTTGATATTAAGAAGGGATGATACCGTAACATTTAGATGGGACAGCTGTTACTGGGTGTGGTGCGGATCAAAGACGATACTGAAATGTTCCTCAGTAAGACTTTACTGAGCGTATTGAGAGAAGATACAAGTGGTTTGGTCTAACATAAAGTCTAACCATAGGAAAGAAAAGAAAACAAAAACAGGAGTGTCACCCAAATTAAAGAAATAAACAAAACAGAACACTCCTTATAAGTAACCTCTAAACTAACTACCAAAATAAAGAAATATGAAAATAAAACCGGAATCTTCAGCGTATGCGACGCCCAAACTAAACTCTCATAAACTACAAACAAAAATACAAGGGTGGCATAACACTCACAATCCTAATCTAACAGAATATAAACTAACCTACTAAAAAAACAAAACAAGCAATGTAACAACGACCGACGAAATATTCGAATCATCACAGAAGGGAAAATGTGATGAAGTAGCTGGATACACCAACATGCATTCTTAACGTTATACTAGACACGTAATCAGGCTGGAACTCTAGAACCGACGTCCGCGATATCTTTTACAAAGAATTCAATACAAGTCAATAGCTAAGAAACAAATCTATAAATAGATCAAAACACACAACAAGATACATGTGGCATCAGGAGACCGCGTTGGAGCACGAGGTACGCTGGCATGGCGTGCACACACACAATCAGCTCGAGTCCTCAAATACAGCTGGCACGTCATTTTAAATTTTTTATGTTGTATATTGTATATTTTAGCACATCAGGTTAAACTCAATTTTATTTTATTTGATTAGTTTAAAATAAAATATTATATTTATTAAGTTTGCTTTATCTCTATTTTTTATGGTTTTAGTTTTAGTTGACTACAATAAAATACCAGTACATAAAACCAAACATTATAAACACTATAAATCACATTTTATTATTACATTCAGAATCACTGAGATACTTATATAGTTTTTATTAATGTTTTGAATTGGTTTTCATTTTTATATTTTCGGTTCATTTTAATTTTAGTTATTTTGCCCTTTTTTGCATTTTTATAAATTTTATTTTATATATTTGTATTGATTTTTTAGTTATTTTAGCACATCAAGTTAAAGTAAATGAAAATGAAAGAAATGTTGCCTTGGCAAATAGCTGAATTAAGTTTTTTTTAAATAATTTATTTTATTTATTACTTTGCGTTCATTGTATTAAAGGCACAATATGTAAGTTTTCGCCGCTAGAGGTCGCATTTTCAAAACAATAACAAAGGCGAAGCTTGAAGGAGAGTGGAACGATGGGAGATGTCCGAATCATGTTCGCGGATGTAATGAATTAATTTTTTTATTACCTGCACCTTCCAAAGTTATTCAAACAGTGAATAAATGATATAGAGAAAGCGAGCAAAGAACATTTAACATTACATTGGTAATGTAAGAACAGTATGCCTGACTTCAGACTAGTGCGAGTTTAAACACTCTCAAAAAACTCCCTTATAATCAGTAAAGCTGTCTATACACTGTTTGATGAGTGAATCTCCTACTTACATCATACGTACATCTGCACTTTGTTGTTTATGATGAGAGAATACACTCAGCGAGCGCTTCAGCGATGACTAATCTAAACGCCTCTGATTGGCCGCTGCATTCATAAACTCAACAGACTCGTGTGTGATTGGTTATAAAGCGCAACACTGTAAAAACGTGGAAAACGATTCGTGGTGCAACATTGAGCAGATCTAAATATAATGCTGCAGTCAACACTTTTCGTTCCATTTTCATTTTATTCGCGACTGCCGTAATGGATTTAGTTTAATTGCAGCAGCATTTTTGTCCACGTGTGTTGTGTTTCTACAAGCGGAAACCATCATTGATTAGTTGATAGGCGACAATGAACTGGGACGAGCCATTATTTTAAAATTTCTCTGGATTTAAAAATCCTTGGGAGCTTTTGGGATAACATAAGTGCACAACTGCATGAAATATATAACAATGCGCAAATGGTTTTTGGATATTTTATTACGAAAATCTTGCATATTGTGCCTTTAAAATGCAATGTTTTTAGGCTCATACATTTAAAAAGCAAACTCTTCTTCTGTAGCGCAAGGGATTGTGGTAAAACCTTGCTCATGTAATTGTGTTTTGTTCCCTATCTTTTTCTTAGGAGGGTCAAGTTTAGAGTTTTCCCTGATCAACAGCATACGTGATACCGGTGTGCCGAAGGTAAAACTATTAAATTCAACATGAAACTCTATTTACTATCTTCCTTGTCTTATTGCAAATGATTCATCACTGCACATTATTCTTAAGAAAAAAAGCCCTAAAATTGAATCAATTTGACATGAATAAAATGAAGTGCCACTCTGCTTTTATAGCATTAAATTTCTTGTTTCATTCATCAAGCAAATGTCCTTCCATTGACTTATTTTTCATCAAGACTGGCAGCACTTTATAAATGTAGATTTTGATGCGCTTGTGTTGTGATTTGAGAGCGAATCGTGATTTTCGTGAATCGTGATACGCCTGTGTTCTCTAGCTGTGATTGATGGGGAAAACGTCATACATATGTGCAGAAATAAAAGATTATGGACTGAGTAATTATTATTAGTAATTAGTATCTGTTAAACATGTTCAGTCACATTTGGGTGCCAGCCCTGATTTTTATGTTTTATCACAAAAGATTTGTGTTTTTTCTAAACTCTCAGTCACTGCGTCAACACTATCAGATATAAAAAATAATGTGTAAAATATTTATTATAAATGCTGACAAATTGAGCATTAACTAGTGACTTAGAAATACAAGATGGTTGCAAACTGTCTAAATATATACATGCATACATAATATATGTATTAAATATCTAAAAAAAATAATTATATATATATATATATATATATAATCTGTTAAAAAAGCTAGAAAAAAATAAACAACTTTTATATTTTTGTTATATTTTACATATTTATATATATATTTAATACATTCATAATTATAAATCTAATACAAATCTGCATTAGAGTTTATTATATTATTTAGATTTTTTAAATAGTTTTTTTTAACAGATTTTATTGAATCTTCTGTCATTGAATTTTTTTTTATTTTCTGTCAGTTTTTTTGATATACAGTATAATCTGACAGATTTTTTTTTCTGGATTTTTTTTTTTTATAAATGTTCTTAATATTTTAATCAAATATAATATAAATATAAAAATAATAGCTATATAAATAAAATAAAAATCTGTCAGATTATATGTAGAAAAACTGACAGAAGATTCAACCTTTCCCTGAAGGATTTCAGCTGAAGGGAGGTCATCTAATTCCAGCTCCTGACATGCGTCTGTCACTGTGCCGTCAGCGCTGCTGTGTTATCGGCTCGTCTCGAGGGTCCGTTCGTGACCCCTGGGATGTGTGCACTTGTGTTGAACTAGCAAGCAGCTGCTGCTTCAGGACCCTGCGTTGGTCTCGACCCTGTGTTTTGTCTGAAACATGTGTTCGGTTCATTATTAGATTTCTGGGAAGAAAGAGTGTTTGCATTAGGAGAGCATTAGAAGTGGCATCCTTTATGTCCTGGAATCTTCTGTAAAAATAGCGCACTCATAAAACACTAAGAGAGCAAAACATGTTTACAAAATAGCAGTATGTCCTTCAGTGTCAATCATGTAATGGGTTCATTCCCAGTGCTTCATTTTTAAGGGTTAGTTCACCCAGAAATAAACCGTCTGTCATTATTTACCCATTATTTGCTGCTTTCTTCCATACAATTAAAGCAGGCAGTGTCAAGGGTATGTCAGGTTACAAAAAGGACAAAAAAGCATCATGAAAACATCGTAAAAGTAGTCCATATGAATCTTAACCATGTGAATGAGTAGAGTATGCAACTCCAAGTTCATGGGTCCGGTTCCCAGGAAATGCATGAACTGAAAATTTGATTTTAAATGCATTTAAAAACATTTTAAATGCAATTCAAGTCGCATATGCATAATGTATAGATGCTGTGTGTTTCACAGATGAAAATGACATGCAAAACAAATATTTAGCCTAAATGCTTTGAATTGCATGAAAAATGTAACTCCGTTCAGATTACACAGTTTTAGCATAAACGAACTAATGCATTTTATGTGCATATTTGTCAGTCAAACATAAATGAAGCCATTCAGAATTCTGCATTTAAAAAATATCATGCCATAATTTACAGTATTAACTATTTGCATCTATTTGATTTTAAATCATGTTTTCAAAGTGCATTTATTCAAACTCTTTAGAATCAGCATAGATCTGTTTAATGTGAAAATAATAAAAAATATTTAAAAAAAGTATAAACATGGTTAAAGTATGTCAGCAACATTCCCTTAGTTAAAATGTATGATGTATGTTGATATATAAATACATATAAACCTGGTTATTGTGAATTTGAAACGCATTCAGTTTATTAGTACTATTACAGAAATGTGACCGGTTTCATTTATGTTTGACTGACAAATACGCATTACAGTAAGTGGATTAGTTTGTTAAAACTGTGTAATACAAATGCATAGAAATGCCGTTTATAAAATAATGCTGTGTATTAAATATGTAAAATATAAAAAAATGTTATATAAAAAATATTATGTTTAAAATTTACTTTTATTTTATTTATAAATAAAATTAAAAATCTTATAAATAAATAAAATATGTAGAATATATAAATTGATCATTGTAAATCTATAAATATAAAAACATCTGTTATATGTAATTTTCAAAATATGTATTATATATATCAAATAATTGTTTTTTATTATATATAAAAACAGATCTATTTTTTTAATCTATAAATGCAATAATTACTCGCTACATTTGTGGTCACATGACCTCTTTATTTAGCATGTTCTCCTCTGCAACCTGCATACATATTACATACTGCAGCAATAGTTTGAGTGGTGTGGTAGTGAAGATAACCACTGGTTGTGAATATTTGTTACTAATGAATTGCAACCCTTCCAGCTTGTTTGTTTCTGACTGGAGCACACTTGTTTCGTATTCATGTCTTTTAACAGAAAGATGACATCGAGCATGAGATCTTTCTGTTCAAAAACCCGTAAGCGTGCAACCTGAACTTTTATTGTTTGTTTAAATATAGAGTATAGTTAAATTAATTATGAGCAACAAATATAAAGCCTTATTTAAAATGTGCGAATTCAGCAAGAGCTTATGTGCACATAAAATGCTGCTAATTTTATAAATAGTTTGTAAATAGTAGATTTTATCTGTTATATTTATTATAAAGTCAAATTAACCCTAGTTTTCTTAATACATGTTCCTAGTCTTATTATTGAAGATTCATCCATGCATGTTATTCCTAAAAATATTAGTATTTTATGATATTTTAAATATTTAAAAATATCTTTCATTGAAATGTAATAACTTCCATCTCCACAAATAGACCTTTTTCTTTGACAATAGGTCACATTATGTAATTAAAATGGCTTTTGAGTACCGTTTCATGCTGAGTTTTGCAAACACCTTCTCATCAATGAACTACAGGAGTTTACTGTCATGTTTGGCCCTTTGCTTGAATGAATATTGTTTTGGAAACATTTTCCCAGGAGTTGCACAACACTAAACAGTGTTATATTTAATCTTGCATTGCCTGAGGAGCTTGAATATTAAACCATTAATCTAACTAGACTCAATGAGAAACAAAATGAGCTGAGTAAACGCCAGCCAACATGAAACATGAATGGAATAGCATCACAGATGGATCATTAACAATAACACCAGAAACATTCATTAAAGGAATAGTTCACCCTAAAAATGAAAAAAATTGCTGAACATTTACTCACTCACAGGCCATACCAGATGTAGATGAGTTTGTTCTTCATCAGATTTGTAGAAATGTAGCATTGCATCAGTGTCTCACCTGTGGATCCTCTGCAGTGAATGGGTGCCGTCAGAATGAGAGTCCAAACAGCTGATAAAAACATCCACAAGTAATTCACACCACTCCAGTCCATCAGTTAACAGCTTGAGAAATGAAAAGCTGCGTGTTTTTAAGAAACAAATTTATCATTAAGACTTTTAACTTCAAACCGTTGCTAAAGTCCATATCCATAATAACACTTCCTCAAGTGAAGAAGTGCATCTCCTGTTGTCTCTCACATCAAAATCCATCACTTATTTGTTTAGAGCTGTTTTGGCTTGTAAACGGTGCTTGATCTCTGCAGATTTCTCTCCTGATTCAGACCAGACCACTTTTTCACTGGAGGAAGCGTTATTATGGATTATTTTAGTTAAAAAACGTCTTAATGATGGATTTGTTTCAGCTTTGGTCTTCTCCAGATGTTAACTGATGGACTGGAGTGCTGTGGATTATTGTGATGTTTTTATCAGCTGTTTGGACTCTCATTCTGACGGCACCCATGCACTGCAGAGCATCCACTGCTGAGACACTGATGCTACATTTCTCCAGATCTGATGAAGAAACAAACGCATCCTAATCTTGGATGACCTGAGGTCATTTTTGGGTGAACTAATGCTTAGTAAAAAGTAAAAGGTCAATTCTGAGTTTAGGTTGGTTTTGTGTGTTGTCTTTCATGCGCTGCTTTTCTTTTCAGCAGTGGAGGCAAAGGCGATTATTTAAGCGTGGACCAGTTAGTCCACTTTTTGAATGAAGTAAGCAATGTTTTCATTTTGATAACTTTCAGCATCCTGCATGTGAGCTGATTTTTGCACTTTTCTTATTCCTGGACAGCGCGTCTTATTTAGCAGACGCGTCTGTAATGTTCCTTTACGTCTGCATGCAATGAAAACCGAATGTTAGCCTGAATGACAGAACATCCCAGTTTGAATCATTAGATCAAGTATTATGAAGACTTCTGTGTCTGTTTTGTGTCTTTTCTTCTTCGAAGTCTTTAGTCTTCACTCTCTATTGTTTCAATTAACGTTTCTCTTCTACTTCTTCAAAGAAGCAGCTTCATTTAAAATGAGCCGTTCCTTTTGTTTACATTTCTGCGGATGCTTATTAAACAAAGATGCTTATAACAAATTACTCGTGTGCCTTGACCTAGTTAATGTAACCTGCAGGTTGTGTTCTCTTGTGTAGAATCCGAGAGATCCGCGTCTGAATGAAATACTCTTCCCGTTCTTCGACTCTAAATGTGCTCTCCAAATCATACAGCGTTATGAACCTGATGAGAAACTCAAGAGGAAAGGTGTGTCGCACATTGTTGTGTTTATAAGTGACTGTTTATGCTTCTAATGGTGTGGTCCTTTGTTTTGTCTTTTATTACTCTGATTTATTACCCATTTCTCTGGAATACTTGATTGTGATCAGTCAATGCCAGCATTTTGCAGTCAAATAAATGTTTATATAAAATATTTGTGTGTGTGTGTGTGTGTGTGTGTGTGTGTGTGTGTGTATGTTTTTTAAAGAAGTCTCTTCTGCTCATCAAGGCTGCATTTATTTGATCAAAAATAAATAAAAAACAGTAATCTTGCAAAATGTTATTACAATATAAAATAATGGTTTCTATTTTAATATCCTTTAAAATATAATTGATTTCTGTTATGCAAAGCCATTACTCCAGTATAAAGTGTCACATGATCCTTCATAAATCATTCTAATATGCTGATTTATTATTAAAATGATCAATGTTTGCAGCAGCTGTGCTGCCAAATCTTTTTTTTTTGGAAACTGCAATACTTTTTTCAGGATTCTTTGATGAATAAAAAGTTAAAAAGAACAGCATTTATTCAATATATAAATATTTTCTAACATTATACATCTTTGCTATCACTTCTTAACAATTTAACACATCCTTGCTGAATAAAAGTTTTCATTTCTTTCAAAAAAGAAAGAATAGAAATGTACTGACCCCAAACTTTTGAACGGTAGTGTATATTGTTAGAAAATATTTCTATTTTAAATAAATGCTCTTCTTTTTAACTTTTTATTCATCAAAGAATCCTGAAAAAAGTATCACAGGTTCCAAGAAAATATTAAGCAGCACAACAGTTTCCAATACTGATAATAAATCAGCATCTTAGAATGATTTCTGAAGCTCATGTGACACTGAAGACTGGAGGAATGATGCTGAAAATTCAGCTTTGATCACAGAAATAAATTACATTTGAATATATATTGAAATAGAAAAACATTATTTGACATTATAATAATATTTCACAATATTACATGTTTTCCTGTATTTTTGATCAAATAAATGCAGCCTTGATGAGCAGAAGAAACTCCTGTAAAAACACATAAAAAATCGTTCTGATCCCAAACTTTTTACCGGTAGTGTGTGTATATATATATATATACAGTGGGTACGGAAAGTATTCAGACCCCCTTAAATTTTTCACTCTTTGTTATATTGCAGCCATTTGCTAAAATCATTTAAGTTAATTTTTTTTCCTCATTAATGTACACTATTTACTACAGCATCTCACATAGTAAAATAACTTAGGCCTAAACTCAAATCAAAATGTAATCTGCATTTATTTATTTATTTGACAAGCAGCCATTTAAATTTATCCACACTAACCTGTCAGGTTTATTTTATTATTTTATGTTTTCTAGTTTTACTAGACAGTAAATGTAAAGTATTATTGTTATGATTTAACGGCTTATTCATAGTTTGTTCTCATCCTTCATTCCTTATACATTCATATCTTATTATGTAAATGCAGTTTCGTAATGTTGGAGCGCCACCTAGTGTAGAAGTACAGTACCTAATGTTCATTTCAACAGACAGATTTAGATGAATTAAAGGACTGTCTGGTTAATAAATGCATGAGTAATGAATGGATGGATGGCTTTGTGCAGGTCTGATGTCATGTGACGGGTTCTGCCGGTGTCTGGTGGACCGGCTGGAGGTTTATCAGGAGATGGATCATCCGCTGTCTCACTACTTCATCAACTCGTCTCACAACACGTACCTGACCGGCAAACAGTTTGGAGGAAAGTCGTCAGTGGAGATGTACAGACAGGTGCTGCTGACCGGCTGCAGGTGCGAGCAGATGCAGAATATCAGCCTTATGGGATTCAAATGACTGCAAATGTAAAAAAAAAATCTATTGCATTTCCAATAACTTTTTTATTTATTAATTCTTTCCCCATGTATTTGTTTATTGTGCAACACTTACCTGCCTTTAAAGGGAAGCATTTATTATGCTTTTTCACTTTTTTAACTTTAGTTAGTCTGTAATGTTGCTGTTTGAGTATAAAAAGATCTGTGAAGTTACAAAGCTCAAAGTCCACTTCAAAAGGAGATATTTTATTTAACAGAAATCACTTTTCAAAAACAACATCGAACGACTCTTTTGGACTACAATGCATATTTTCCGGGATTTGTGATATCACAAATATCGACGAATGGGACGAGACCGGGTTGAGCTGCACTAGAGAAGGCAACGAGTGTTATCACTATGTCGGAGACACGCTAGCTTTCCCAAGCCAGACGAACTTAGAGTGGTTACAATCGCGCTCAAATTGATTTGATTTTGACGCAATATTTTCACTGAAGCTCGCAGGTGGCTATGGTAAGGCGCATGCCAATCACAGCACACACTGGCCCAGCTAACCAATCACAGCACACACTGGCCCAGCTAAAATATGTGAAAAATAATGTGTTTTTCGAACAACCTAGTATGAGAGCCTGTTCTAGTACACCCCCAAAACAAGATCAAGACTTTGTAAACGAGCATAATAGGACCCCTTTAATAACTTACTTTAAAAACAAAAATTTTATCGCATTATTATGAGATTACCTGTTAACTGTTTTTACATTAAGAAATGCCATTTATCAACATCGATTCATACATTTTTCAATGTGATTGTACATTTATTAATAAGGAAAGCAGTATATGTTATTTGAAAATATTTATTAAGCGTTATTAAGGATTATGGACTCGTATTTTAGTTAAAAACGTCTTGGTGATGGATTTGTTTCAGCTTTTATCTTCTCCAGATGTTAACTGATGAACTGGAGTGGTGTGGATTATTGTGATGTTTTTATCAGCTGTTTGGACTCTCGTTCTGACGGCACCCATTCACTGCAGGGCATCCATTGCTGAGACACTGATGCAATGCTACATTTCTCCAAACCTGATGAAGAAACAAACTCATGTACATCTGGGATGGCCTGTGAGTGAGTACATTGTCAGTAAGCTTTCATTTTTTCGTGAACTATTCCTTTAATAACTATAAAAGAAATGCACAATAAATGCGCTGTGTTGTGTTTCTCTCAGGAAACATCAGCTGTATAAACTGGCGTGCTACTGCGAGGACATTTTTGGAGATTTGCTCCTGAAACAGCCGTTAGAGGATTTCCCGGTGTGTTTAATTAACACTTTAAACCTGTATTTTATTGTGTGTTTATTCAAAAGCCCATAACACAATTCTTAGCTAAAGTTTTCTTTCTTTCTGTCTCAGATGGAGGCCGGATGCCCGCTGCCGTCTCCAAAGGGCCTCAAAGGAAAAATCCTCATCAAGAACAGAAGATTAAAACCTGAAGTTGAAATAAGTAGTGATATAAACCCCATTCAAAAGTTCTACCAGTTACGACAGTAAAATCATAATAAAGTACTTATCAGATCCTCAAGTTCTCTATGATATTCTGATCACAAGTGCCTCTTATAAATTTGGAAGTATCCATGGTAAGTATTTGTGTTTGGGAAGTAGTTATATTCTCAGTATGTGAACAAATGTAATTCTCAAGGTCCTAAAAACTAAAAAGTGATGCATATTAATAAGTTTTGTCAAACAGAACAACTGGAGCCGAGCATCTCCACAAACATGTCTGAAGATGAGAATGAGGAGGAGACGTCCACCGGTGAGGAAGACTCGTTAAAATGCAAAGCACATCTGTTAATTATTTGCTTGGTGGCATTACGTTTTTGCACCCTATTTACTAGAAGTCTTATCTGTTTCCTTGCATACTGAGAACAAATAACTGTTTACATTTACATTTGTGCATTTGGCAGATGCTTTTATCCAGAGCGTCTTGCATTGCATTCCAGCTATTCATTTTTCAATTCATGCATTCCCATAATCTGTTTACATATAATGCTTTATGCATTAAACTATTATAAATGCTTCTAGTTACAGGCTGTAAAAGGGTCGTATTTTGCACGTTTGTCATAATTTAGATGTTCATGGTCATTTTCCAATCTCTCACAAAGCTGTGTTGTTATTGTTAACTGAAACTATTAAAAAACATTTTTTATCAATTGAAATTAAGTGGAAAAACTTAACAACTTAACAAAATGTTAGGTAAAATGTAGCCTTGGCAATTAACTGAACTGAAATAAAACAACTTTGAGTACTAAAATTACTAAAACTGAAATAAATATAAAATAAAAATATATAAAAATGTAAATAAAATAAACTAATAAAAATGGCAATTAACTGAACTGAAATAAAATAAGTTTGAGTACTAAAATTACAGAAACTGAAATAAACACAAAATAAATATAAAATAAAAAATATATAAAAATGTAAATAAAATAAACTAATAAAAATGGCAATTAACTGAACTGAAATAAAATAAGTTTGAGTACTAAAATTACAGAAACTGAAATAAACACAAAATAAATAAAAATAAAATAACAAATAAAAAATGGCAATTAATTGAACTGAAATGAAATAAGTGTGAGTACTAAATTACTAAAACTGAAATAAATATAAAATAAATAAATACAAATAAAATAAAAACAACTAATAAAAAAATGTCAATTAACTGAACTGAAATAAAACAACTTTGAGTACTAAATTACTAAAACTGAAATAAAAATAATATAAATATAAAATAAAAATACATAAAAATTTAAATTAAATAAACTAATAAAAATGGCAATTAACTGAACTGAAATAAAATAAGTTTGAGCTAAATAGAAATATAAAAAATGACAAAAGTACATAAAAAATTCCCTAAACTTAAACTAAAATTATAACAAAAAATATACAAATAAAATTCAGATTTTCGTTTAGTTTAACTTTAAGTTCTAAAATATAAATAAATAAAACAAATAAATAATAAATAAAGCTGAAATAATAATGAATAAAAATGATAGACATTTAAAAAAAACAACTAATAACATTTACAAAAACAAAATTACTAAAACTTCAACTACAATTAATAAGTCAAACTTAAATGATAATTTAAAATCTAAAAATAAAAGTGAAATCAAATATCAATAAATACTGTAATAGTATATATGTAATATTAAAATAGCCGTCTCAGATTCTACAGATCCTACATTTGAACAGATAATTTTGCTGCAGAGTATGTTTACTGTATGCAAATGATTTCCATTACGATTGGCTAACCTTTGCATAATGGCATAGAGTAATCCTGTATTTGAATGATAAATCACCTTAAAGTAGTCTTGTGTATTATTTCTACACTATATTTTGAAGTATTGCATTAGTTTCACATTCACTCCTTTTTTTTGAGTAATGAAATGTATGTTTTAATCTTTAGCAGAGCTGGACTCACGGATGTCTGATCACTGAGGAAGAGAGTCGTGAGGAAGAGGCACTCCGACCCAGAAAGGTCCTTACATCATTCTTATATAATCACCATTACAGCCATAATTCACCCAGAAATCAAAATGCACTCATGTCATTCCAAACATGTTTGCTGTTGTTTGTTTCTGTGGAAAAACACGAATCTTAGTGCAGCACTTTCACATACAGTCACAGTTCATAAACACACAAGCTCATACGCTTGATTTATTTGCTTTTATGGTGATTTTATCAGTGTTATTTTACTATTATAGTTTTAAAATAGTTTGATCCTAAAAGTGGCTTGCACTGTAATTAAGACATAACAAAATAATCATAATAGTTATTATTTCTAATAAAATTAAAATAATAATAATACAAATGTGCTTTTATGCTGCTTTTATCAGTGTTATATTATTGTTTTTATTAATATTTTGAATTTGTTTTTTATATTTTCCCTATTCATTTTAATTTTTAGTCATTTTTGTTCTTTTTTATGTCTATATAGCTTTTTTATTATATACATTTTTTAAGTTTTCTTTTGAGTTTAGTTAGTTTTAGTTACAAAGACAGTTCTATATGCATTTACTTTTATGCTGATTTATCCATGTTATTATAATATCACTGATATACCATTATAGTTGTTATTAATATTTAGAATTTTTGCATACATTTTTACATAAATTTACATTTTGTAAAAATGTCGAGTTTTTAAAATGAATAATTTTAGTTTTACATTTTTCATTTTGAATTGAAAGAATTCGTAATTTTCTTGCATTTTTGTTTTAGTTTTAATATGTTTGTATAGTTTTTAGAAATTGTATTTCAGTTAAATTTTTTGTTATTTTATTTTCAAGTTAATCTAAAGGAAAATTAGAAGTGCTGGCAACTAGCCTTTTTATATTTTTATTTTTTATTTCGTTTTATTCTTAGGTAACAAAAATATTTAAATGGTTTTAGTTAATGATAGCTTGTTTTTCACAGAAGAAATGAAGTTGTGTGAGTAAACTCTTGCTTTTATCTCAAAGAAGTGATCATTTCTATATTTTACATGCATTTTTAAAACTTGCTTTATTAAAGTAACTTCTGACAGTTTTTTCTTCTTCAAAGAGCAAAGGAGAAATGGAGACGATCGTGAGGTTTTGTTATTTGGTGAGGAGTGTCAGGAAATAACACAGACTTCACTCAAAGCCTTTTATCATGATAATGGGCTGAGGAAGCTTTTATATTTCTGCCAGATTTACCCATTACTGTCTCTTTCCTTCTGAAGAGGGGAATCTCGCAGACGCTCGCTCTCATCGACACGCATTAAGAAACGCTGTAGTGCTGCAAAGTTCAGGCTCTCGTTAGAAAGGCAAACTCTGGGTTAGAGATTTGAGCAAACACTAGTGAGCTGATGAGATTTGCTCGGATGAACACAGCACATTTTCTTAATATCTGTATTAGTGTTTCACAGGCTGATGAACAAGCGCTGATTCAGTCGTATACGGACAATGTTCAGGTCTGAAACATGCTGTTCAAAAGTATGTGAACACCAGTAGTTATTTTAGTATTTAGTATTTCTATAATATTTAATTAGTTTTTTAATATATTATATTTAAATTAAATTTTACTTAAAACTACTGAAAAAAATAAACTAAAATTTAAAATAGTAAATGGTATTAAGAAAATAGTAATATTAAAAATAATAATAAAATTACAGTATTTAAAAAAAACGAAAGAAATGACAAGTTCATAGCAAAATGACTTAAGCTGTGCTTTTGCTAGTTTTTTAATATTACTATTAATATATAATATTAAAAGTAATGCTAATTTGTGCTTTTGTCATTGTATTATTATTAATAATAGTATTACTTTTTACATTAATATTTTCTGTTTTCATTTAAATTTTTGTTTATTTTTTAGAAATGTTGTTACACTTTTGTCTTGTTGTTGTTGTTGTTGTTGTTGTTGTTATTATTGTAATTATTATTATATGAATACTGCTATTTGGTATTTATTTATTTTGATTTCACTTTAAATTTTTATTCACTTCGGATTAGTAATTTTTTTTTGAACTTATTTCAATTATTTGCCAAGCCAACATTTCTAATTTTTCATTTGTATTTAATTTAATTTAATTTAATTTTAATTTAATTTAATTTTTTATTTAATTTTTAATTTAATTTTTAATTGTATTTAATTTAATTTTTAATTTAATTTATTTTTATTTTTATTTTTATTTTAAATTTTAAATTTTATTTAATTTAAATTTTATAAAATTGTATTTAATTTGATTTGATTTAATTTTATTTAATTTTAATTTTAATTTAATTTATTTTAAATTTTAATTTAATTTAATTTTTAAAAAAAATTTATTTTATTTTTTTTTTTCATTTCAGCTTTTAATAGTTTTACTTTATGTAAACAATAATAACCCTGCTGAACACAGATTCTTCTACTAGACCAAATCCTGTTTATATCATACAGTCAAACACGTTATTGTTTTAGGACTGTTAGGTGATGTTTTTGTGTTTGTCCACAGAAATAAATATTCATCCCAACATGTCTTCCTTCAACGAGTCTGTAGGTTGCCATTGAAACCAACTGATGCCATTGAATTTGTGAAGTATCCTTTCTTTTGCATGCTAAGTCATTTCTCACATACTTATTTCTGGCCCTTAAAGCTAAATGTCAATTTTATGGTTCTCATTTAAAGGTGCAGAAAGTATTTATCTTGTAAAAGTGGTCTTGGGCTATAAAGATGCAACATCATGCATAAGTGTTTGGCTAACTATTGTAGAAATGCCTGCCTGGTGCATATTGATCATTTATTCTGCACTAAAAGTGTCTCCTATAACAGCGATTATGTATTTAGCTGACCATGTGACCTGTTCTGCTATGCAGCATCAGCTTCTATCTCATGTATGTTCATTTTAAAACACATTTCTTTAGATTTGAAACATTTTACAATGGAAAAAGTTACTTGGTGCACCTTTAACTTTAGTAACTTCTTGCTGTTAAAGTTGTAGTTTAGGTCTCTGTTCCCAGGGGGCGTGTGAGCGCACAAAATAAGATGGATAGCTGGATACAGTTTGCAGTATTTTTTTGCAAGTACAGTTTAATGCCTTTTATTCACCTCTTCACCTGTATATACAAGTTTTGAATAAAATCTAGAGGTAGTATCATAGTTTACATTTTTTACAAGTTTATTTATTTATTTATTTTATTACACATAATTGTTTTTATTTAGTAGAAAATAAATGTAATCTTTGGAGTAAAATTTAAAAAATGCATGACAAACAGATTTTATTATTATTATTTTCTTTTTTATTTGTACATTTATTTTGTATTTATTGAATGTATTGAATTTTCATAATAATTTTTTATTAGTTAGTTTAAAAATATGCATATTTATTACATTTATTTTATTTTTATATATTTATTAGCAAATTAAATGTCAGACATGTAATACTGAAGCCTAATGTTCTTTCTTAAAATAATTTTATTATTTTATTTATTTTTACATTTTTTATTTATTACAATTATAGAATTTTTATAATTTTTTTATTAGTGAATATGAAATATATGCATATATTTATTACATCTATCTATTACATATATTTATTACATTTAATCCACTTTGATTTTTATTTATTAATAAATAAAATGTCAGATATTTAATATTGAAACCTAATATTTTAATGTTTACTATTATTTCTTTTTATTAGTATTTTAAATTCTATTTGTGAATTTATTTTTATTAAATTTATTGTTACATATATTATTACATTTCTTTTCATAAAATATTTTTTATTAGTGAATATAAAAATATATGCATACATTTATTAGATTTATTTTATTCCATTTTATATACTGAAATCTAATGTTCTAATGTATTTTATTAATCTTTTTAGAGTAAATACAATGGCCCAAAAACGTCCTTAAATCACATTAAATCTCACTGCATTTAAGAACACAGTAATACATCGAGTGTGATCGGTGTTCAAATGCTGCAGGATCTATTATCCTCACCTACTTATTTTCTTCATAATTGTTGATGAAGAAATGTCATTTTTGACCTTAAATGTCTTTTAATCAGCTGGTGCTTTGGTGATTTTTAACGGATGCGTGAAGTCATAGTGTGTGTGTGTTTGTGTGTCTGTGTGTGTGTGTTTGTGTGTGTGTTGTGTGTCTGTGTGTGTGTCTGTGTGTGTGTGTCTGTGTGTGTGTGTGTGTGTGTGTGTGTGTGTGTGTGTGTGTGTGTGTGTGTGTGTGCACGCGCGTCCGTGTATGTGTGTGTCTGTGTGTGTGTTTGTGTGTCCGTGTCTGTGCCTGTGTGTCTGTGTGTGTGTCTGTGTCTCTCTCTGTGTGTGTGTCTGTGTGTGTGTGTGTCTGTGTGTGTGTGTGTCTGTGTGTGTGTGTGTGTGTGTGTGTGTGTGTTTGTGTCTGTGTGTGTCTGTGTGTCCGTGTCTGTGCCTGTGTGTCTGTGTGTGTGCCTGTGTGTCTGTGTGTGTGTGTGTGTTTGTGTGTGTGCGCGCGCGTCTGTGTGTGTGTGTGTCTGTGTGTCCGTGTCTGTGTGTCTGTGTGTGTGTGTGTGTGTGTGTGTGTTTGTGCGTCTGTGTCTCTGTGTGCTGTGTGTGTGGGTGTCTGTGTCTGTGTCTGTGTCTGTGGCTGTCTGTGTCTGTGTGTGTGTGTGTGTGCCGGTTCCTTCTAACTAAGATGAAATCTTCTGAAGCACATGAGAAGAAAAGCCTGCCTGACTGAGAGGTTTGCAGTTTAATGAGAGATCCGTCACATCTCTGTTCTCTTTCAAAGCGCGTTTGCAGTGTGAAAGCAGCAGACCTACAGCATGAGGATGCCTTCCAGGATGGAGCTGAGTTTAAAGTGTGCAGATCTTAAAATAAGACCCAGAACTCCCCGAAACCTTTCTGTTTTAGTTTCCTTCAATGAGATGCGCAGCTACAAGAAACGGCAGATGAGTCGCATCTACCCCAAAGGAGGCCGAGTGGACTCCAGTAATTATATGCCACAGATCTTCGGTTGCCAGATGGTAGCACTGAACTTCCAGACCCCAGGTGATGCAGACGACACACACACTCACTCACACACACACACACACACACACGCACGCTGCAGCATCTCTGGACTCCATCTGTGCATCAGTCACTTCAACTTCTGGAGTTTCTCACAAGAACAAGTCACATTTTGCAATGTTTCATAATAATTAAATGCACTTTTCATTAGATCCAGTTTCAGGGTTCCCACGTGTCCTGGAAAACCTGGAAATTGACAAATAATTTTCCAGTCCTGGAAAACATGGAGAATGACAGAAAATGTAAAATGTCCTGGAAAATCTTGTTGTTGTCCTGAAAATTTTGTAATTGTGTTTTCCTGGCCCCAAAAAAACCAATGTTAGTAACAAATAATGTTAAAGCGGAACCGGCCCAAACGTGCGAACGGCAACCGGCTCTTTTGTCTTCAGAAAGGTTTCGATTGTATTTTCGTTTCATCTTGCCTCTGTATAATACATATTAAACTACAGGGCTGTTGAATGCTTGAATCTGATTGGTTGACAAACGTTCTAAGGTGTGCAGTTATTTTCAGGGAAACGCATAGATAAAGTAGTTCCAGGCAGGTCTTTACATGTCCATACAATATCACTTTGCCAAATGATTTCAGTGATTTCAAAGGTCCTTACAGCCTACAACAGCAAAAGAACCAAAACCCACGACAACACTCACCAAGCTTATAAATATAATAAACAATAGGATAAAAATGACAAATTATGTCCATGTTTTTGCCACAAAATGTTGTTTTTTTCATTGAATATCAATGGATCAAGCCTCCATTACGTGACGTGACGTGGCATGTGGCCAAGTATGGTGACCCATACTTGGAATTAGTGCTCTGCATTTAACCCATCCAAAGTGCACACACACACCCGGAGCACCCTTATTGCTTTACTAGGTCTAAATAAAGCAATAAGCCCCAAGAAGCCGTGGTTTACAGTGAATTTATAACAGCTAAGGGGCATTGTTAGGTACGACGCGAAGCGTATATATTACATATATGTAGTAAGGTTTCACAAAATAAAACAGAGCAAATAAAGTGTAATGATATTAATAAAAAACAGTATTCTTCCGCCAAACAATGTAGTTCCTCAGAGACGGTTGTGGTTCCAACAAAGTGTTTGCTGAGCAACACACAGAAGTGAACAAAGGTGTGTGTTTGTAGAGTAATTTACAACAGCTTCGAACTTGGCTCAACCAATCAGAATCAAGGGCCGGAACTCTCCGTTTTATAAATGACATTTTGGAATTAGCAACGGAGGCATGGGATGAGATGCGTAAGAAATGAGTTCCCAGGCGACGTTCGCACCGTCAGTTTTTGGAATTGACAACCGCATTTACTTACAGGTGTGAGTCTCGAAATGTCTCGTTCGCACAGCAGCTTACAGTAGCGTCTCGGATGCTGTCTGTATGAACGTGCAACGGGAGTCAAGCCCATATTCTTTACTAGTTACCATAGCAACGGTGACCAAAGTAACATCAAAGATGGCGACGTCAACATTATTTTCTAATAATTAAACAGCCCGTCATCAATTATCCCTTCCTTAAAGTAGTGTTTATAAGCGCAGCGCTGCTTTGTTTACAGCGGTAACCAAGTAAACGCTGTATCGCTGCTGTTCCGTGAGCGCCTCCTGCTGTCAGAGAGTGAATCTGCGTCTCATTCAGCCGTCTGCTGTTTCAGTCTCGTTCAGATGTGTTTTATGTTGCTGTTTCACAGTGCTAAAGTCAGAGCATTCTGTTCTTGCTTCAGATTTTGAACGAATTTAATTTAAATCAGCAACTGCTTATGTATGCAGCATCTTTGTTTGGATCAGGGCTGGGCAACTTCGGTCCTGGAGGGATTAGGGCTGGAGCTAGACTGGTTTGGATCATGATTAGAATGCAGTGGTTGCCTCTAATTTTAAATGGCTACAGACAATTCGGCCCATAATAGAGCAAAAAATTTGATATTGAAGGTCATAATAATGCCTCAATAATAGTCACAATCATGGAAATCGATTGGTCAGAGGTGTGCGAACTGTGTCTTTAAGCAAAATGGGCAATAAAACGTATTCCTGTCTTTTGATTTTGTGGTGACGTCTCTCCTTCAGGCGATCTGATTCACCTGGGACTGTGATTCTGCTCAAATATTGAACAGGAATCCGCTCTGAGGAGCTTTGTGTGCTGTGAAAACATGTGGAGACTCTGACAGGCTGTGTGTGCGTTGGTTTGTTCTCTCGCTGTCTGCTGGAGAGAGTTTGATGTGTCAGTCAGGACGTCAGACGGTGACACGAATCTGACTTAAAGAGGAACAAATCTGAAAACAGACGCGGAGGAGATTCCAGAACAACATGACAAACTCCACATTCACAAACAGAAACTATAGCTTTAATCATAATAATACTCACTAGCTCTTCCGAGCGTGCTGTGACAGTACTGTGGTACAGTACTGTATGATTACCATGGTATTATGATGGTTCTTTAAGGTACTACTATACTATGGTATGATATTACCATGTGACAAAAATGCATGGTAATGTCATAGTTTAATTAGTTTTTTCATTATTAGTGAATTTATTTTTATTTATTACATTATTTATTATTTATTTTATTGCAGTAAATTAAAATGTCAAAATCATAGAAAATCATTCATTAAAATATATTTTAAAAAGCATGGTAATATCATAGATTTGTTTATTTATTTACTTGTGAATTTATTTTCAATTGATTTATTTTGTTAGATTTTCATTTCATTTTTTGTTTGTGAATTGTTTTTTTTAACATTTATTTTATTACATTTAATTGTTCTATTTATTATTAAATTAAATGTAAAAAATGTCAGAATCGTAGAAATTAATTAATTCAAATATTAAAAAAGCATGGTCGTATCATAATTTCAGGATTTATTAATTTATTATTATTATTATTATTTTAATAGTCAATTTATTTTTAATTT